TCGTAGAAGTTGCGTAACGAGTAATCTTCTTCTTCTTTATCTTTAGTTGACTGCTGGATTAGTTTCACTGTCTCCTGTAATGCTACGGCAGTAGCCATCAAGACTGAGTTTTCATTGTTTACGTTTTTCTCCGGAACAGTGATGTTTGGTCTCGTTGGCGCATGCGCGTTTTCGGGCACCGCATTTCCGTCAGTGTACGATGAGGCCCTGACATGGGTTATCACAGAAGTATCAGCAATGGATGAAGCGGGTACTTCGTATACACGTTCAGTGGTATTAGTACACTGTTGTACTAAGTTTCTGTCTTCGTTCCTTACCGCGCTTGGTATATTATGAGCCAATTCACTATGTTCTGTTTCCCCATCGGTGCCCCTGTCTTTCTTTTCTTTGATATCTAACCACAGTTTAACTAATATTTTATGAGGTATAGCATGTTTAATATCTATACCGCAAAGTTTTAGTTCATATTTCAATTTATCAACTGTCCAGTTGTTAGGATCGACAACAGATTCTGTCCTACGAACCCTGGATCTCGATCTCGTACGATTCATGGCGGGGTCAAAGTCCAAAGGCACGGATCAATAATTCATAACAAAAACACTACCGCATGGTAAACACGTGTAGTAAATCCAGTATAAGCAGTATGTCTGCGTAATGAAATATCCAAGAATATAATTCAAATGGAAAGTAAATAAATGTTATAATAGCTTTGTAAAATTACAGATTCACGATGCTGCCAGCCATAGCGTCATTATCAGAAAGAGGCTGGGTATTTTCCCTCCGAAACTTTGGTCATCTATGGGGCGCCCGACGGGGAAATTTTCCACTACGGGGCCTCATTAAGGAAAATGAAAGTGTTTATTTGTTTACCTGGTATAAACTCAGTTTATACCTTCATAAACTTTAATAAATTTAAATTATTTAATTTTGACGATTGAAATTTACGAGAAAAAAAAATAAAATATCAAATCAACATATCTCATTGAAACCAAACTCGTTAATTTTTCAATTACATAAATCAGACAAACTTTTTAAACGGACTTAAGATATGTTTAACTTTTATGTCGCCCGCATGGTGCAGTGGTTAGAGCGCCTGCCGTTGAGTCACAAAGTAAGGAGTCGAATCCCACTGTGGGATGTGGGGACCATATAAACAGAGATCCCGTGTCGCAGAAGGTGACACGAAGAAGATCCCTTACTGCTCAATGACCCTGAGTGCTGAGTAAAGGACAAAATTTGTAGCTCTCCACCGGCATGACTTGACGTCTTCACATGAGTGAAAAAATTCTTGAGGAGAACGTTAAACAACAAACAAACAATTTTTGAAAAGTATTGTATACAAATCACTTACCCTGTACTCGATGGAGGTGGTCAGAATGACACGAAGGAGCGTAAAAGCTTATAAAATCCACATGTATAATTCATACCAAACATTAATGTTTCAATCACACGAACCAGTAAGACCAATTCCTAAGCTGACTTACAAATGAATGATTTTTGAAAACTATGGTACAAGTCATTTACCCCATATCATACTGTTGATTATGTGCAGATACCCGATGAGCATGGCCATAATGACAACTCGGAGCTACGCTCCCTCGTGTCATTATGACCACGCCCATCGGGTATCTGCACATAACCAACAGCATAATATGGGGTAACTACTACGTAGAGGACTATGTTTACGGCGGGTATTTACTGCTTGATACAACGAATCACTTTCGTCATTTTGCACGGAAAAGGTTGGAACAACAAAAAGCACAATGGCTAAAGCAGAATTTTGAAAAATATACTGTAGACATCGTTCGAAAATATTTTTCATGAAGGAAAACTGCTTCCCATAATTACACTGTTGGTGCTACATCCAAGACATTTCATTTGTTTCAAATCAAATATTGGCTACTAACTAAGAGTCCAGAATTATTCCAAGACATTTCATTTGTTTCAAATCAAATTTTGGCTACTAACTAAGAGTCCAGAATTATTCAAAATTACAATAACTACAGTATGTAAAAATCAATTATTTAAACAATACAGTAACTTTATTTTCCGAGACAAAAGTAAATAAAGCATTAGTATTAAGTCACAGCATATCAAGAAAACAATTTAATCCTGCATTTCTAATATATAGTTATTACTCAATTAACTTCTTGACATTCTCTCTCTTTCAAAATATATATAATTTCACTACACTACCATTACATATATGGAAAAAAATAAGAAAAAAAAAATATGCAGAAAGTATCCATTCCAGGATTCGAACCCATTCTCTGGTAAAATTACTGTAATTGGCAGCCCACCAGGATATCCACTAGACCATTTATGACACGATGTATTCTCAGTGTTATTTAATGTACACATTTTGTATTTTGTTTGGAGACTAATTTTTTTCTCTCTCAATTTTTGCCTTTTTCAAAAATGTGCCTCTTTGAAACAAAAATCGGAAATGGCAGTTTTGAAGAAAATTTCTGCCTTTTTTGTATATAACAAAATCATTCTGATTCAAGGAGGCATTTTTTCAGAACAATGGGGATTCCCTTTTTAAAAAAACGGAAAATCTGATATATTTTACTGTGGGACTAATTTTCACATCAATAAATGGCAAATTGGAAGTCAATACACAGCTTCCAAGTAATGTTTCTCGTTGTGCTTTATATATTGCATTTGAAAAAAAATAATATGAGTTTCTGCAACATATAAAAATTCTTTTTTGAATCTGCTACACATTTAGGGAAAATAACAAAAGAACTGCAACACCCTCTTTGATGAAACTTTCACAGAATCTTTATTACATATTTTGCTATTGTGCAACTCCTATTTTACTCTTTTATCTGACACATATTTTGGGTTTCACATAACAAAACATGGACACTCCCATTGTATTCATATGGGGGAGGGGGGGGGGGTCATTTAGTGAGCTCATTGCTCACAGTACCTCTAGTTTTTATTCGCTTATATTTCACGCAATGTTGACCATCACGGTAGCTCAGTTAATTTTGGCGAGTGTTCGTAATTATCTTTGATGTTATGGTGTTTCACACTTGTCAATGACAAATCAATTCCGGGGACGGACCTTAGCTCGTGAGAGATTCCTTTTGTGTGACGATAGAGATGAAGCAGGAAACAGAATCATTGTGTTAGCCACTGATGACAATCTAAAGAGACTTTGTGCTTCTACACATGTGTTTAGTGATGGGACTTTATACTCCTGTACATCTTTATTCACCCAGCTATATACACTCTGCATGCAGAAGTTGATGGAACAGTTTTCCCTCTTGTGTTTGCCTTGCTTCCCAACAAGACTGAAGCAACGTACATGCGTTTTATTTTTGTTGAAAATCGCAGTCTACGAACGCCATTCCGTGCTAACACCTGAACACTGGATAATTGAATTTGAAGTGGCAGTCCGAAATGCGGTGAAAGAGAACTTTTCAAACACAACCATCCGAGGATGCTTTTTCCAATACACACAGTGTATTTGGAGGAAATGCAAAACTGTGGACTAACAACAGAGGTCGAAGAGAATGAGGACTTTCATAGACTCATGAGAAGAGCTGCCTTCCTCCCTCATGTTGAAGATTTGTGGTTCCATGCCTTAGAGGACAATGGTGAAAACACTGCTGCTGTAATGCGCTTCAATGACTTTGTGACTGAGACCTAGGTTGAAGGGCATCTGGATATTTGAAATCATTTCGATCATGACGGACGTCGAACCACCAAAGCAGTTGAGGGATGGCACCACAAGTTTAACAGAATGTGCAGACGTGCCCATCCAAATATCTTTGTGTTCATCGATATGCCTCAAAAAGAACAGGCGGCAAATGAAGCAAAGATCATCTAGATTACAACTGGAGGAGTCGTTAGTCCCAAAAAGATTGATTGATTGATTGTATGTTTAACATCCCTCTCGAGAATTTTTCACTCACATAAAAACGCCACCACTTGCCGGTGGAGAGCTACAAATTTTGTCCTATACTCGGCACTTAGGGCCATTGAGCAGTGAGGGGTCTTTTTCATGCCAGCATCTACTGCGACACGGGACGTCGGTTTATACGGTCTCATCCGAAGGGCTGGTCTCCACGTCCCACAGTGGGATTCGAACCCGCGACGTAAGGATTGACCCCTTACCTCGCCACTCTAGAACAGACGCTCAAACCACTGCGCCAAGCGGGTGACTCGTCCCAAAAAAGAGGAAATAGAGGAAATACTGAGTACCGCCAGCTAGATTCACGTCACCAACGTCTCAAGAACAGACTGCGTCAAGGACAAATGGACATAATGGCTTATGCTGATGCTGCTTCACATCTCACATTCATTTTGAGTGACAATATGCAAGTGATATTTTGGTGAAATAATGTAGAAACTAATATTTCATTCATGTTGTGGTTGTGAATCGATTGTTTGTTTTATTTATGTCTTATTTGCTGCTGTGACATGTGGAAAAAACATCATAATAAAATATTATTACTTTACACAAGCGTTTCTCTTGAGGGTTATATTTGAAATATAGTAAAACATATATCTCAAAAAATAAATTAACTTAGTTTACTTATCGTAGTTTTAAAAAGTTTTTTTTAAAACATAAATTCAGAATATTTTTATATGAACTAAAGAGAAAAATTTAATTATTTCATATTATTCCTATATGAATTATTTACTATTTATTCAGCACATAGCTAAAACAGACTATAGACTACCTTAATTTATTTCTTTTGTTCTCCACCTGTACCCCATTACCACTTAACCAACACAGATTTACCTGTGTTTTGCCTATATTTTTGTGGGAAGACACCACTCGAAGTAAGAAATTTGATTACAAAAAAAACTTGAATCATCGAAGTTCAATCAAGAGTCATTAATTTAAGTAAATCTTGCAATTTTACAATTATTGTGTATGAGAAATCATTGCCATAAAGAATTACACATGAATTTTGAGAATGTGAAGTAAATATTAAAACTTTGTCAAGAATGCACATGGAGAGAAAAAAAAAACAAGAAAGTGAACTATGTGTGATTTTTACTGAAAGAATTAAGGTAAAATTCATATTTCATTCAAAGCGTTAATTTAACAAGAAAGTTAATTATTAAAGTTTTATATTTAACTTAATAAAATTACATAATTGAATGTTTTCTAAATTATCTATAAAATAACTTAAAATAATTTTTTCTGTGTTCTGTGTAAAACATATGTTTGATAACATTGATAAATTCTTTACGTAAGTTAATATATATTCTAATGAACATGTAACAATTTTATACAATATATAATGTCATATATATTAAAAGCACTCTGGTACAGTCATACAATATGACGCGTAGAGTTTTTTGGCACTTGGTCTTGAATGAAGATTCCATTTTCGATCATCCTCATTCTTTTGTGGCGTGTTACGCTCATATATATTCATCTCTGGCACTGAATCAGATAACAAATCTTATCACCGTGTTCTTAATCTGTAAATCTCGCTATAGATTGTCAGTCTGACTAACAGTCAGTTGTCACTGAACTCTTACATCACACGAGGATGAGCTTAGAGAGAGATTCCATGAATAACTATGCCATTATGGCCGCTTCCTTGCGAGTAGCACGTGCACCATATGTTGTTTTCGTTTAGTCAAAATATATCATATATTGAGGAGTGTGTATGTGAATTGCAGCAATGAAGTCATGGAAAGCGTGAATTCGGTTTAATTGAAATGAAATCTTGCCATTTGTTGTTTCGTGAATGTCAAAATTGGTGTTGAGATTCTTTTTCTTAAAAATGACTTCTCAAATGCTAGTCATATCCTCTCTCTAGACAACGCTGAAGAAGATTTGATTGTGCCAGATCGGAATCATCATTACACTGCATTTCTATATGAATTCCGGGAAGTCTGTTTTTTAATGCGCGCACACTACTACTGTACAACATCCGCTGTTTCACTTGAATAGTATCCGGAATCCTGTATACATTAAGAAAAATCATCAATTAATCATTACCATAAAATAAAGTCCACATGTCATGTCAGTTTTTATAGAACTTAATGTACTTACCATAAGAAGAAAACTATTTTGTTCACCATTCGTTCTTTGACAGTGTAGTTAAAATCAAAAACTCCATATCTCCCCTCTCCCTTTAATCCTGCGTTTTGGAGTTCGGTAACGAAATTGTCATATGTACATCCTTCAAAAGGTAAAGAAACATTCACATTTAAGTTGATAAAACAATATTATGAAATCGGCTTCTTCTATTACATGGTTTAGCAAGTAATTCAGGGTAATTTTCGAAAATTTTACATTGAGGCCTTCATGTATGCTTTTCCAATGTCACTTACCTACTGGTCCTATTTTGTCAACTATGATGCGCTTTTTATCGTCAGATAGACGGTATATGATGAACTGAGAGGAATGCTGAAGTTGTAACTTGATGTATGATTGAATACAATTGTCATCTACTTCTACACCAGAAGTCTGGTTAAAAAAAACATAAATTAAGTTTGATATTGTTTGGATAAAAATAATATTTGAACAATTGAAGAATAAATTTTGGATTAAAGATGTTTTTAAAAGTATACCCCAACAAAAAGGCACAGGTATATTTAGCCCAATAAAAGATGTTAAGTCTTTTAGTTACATCGAAACACCAGCTTGTAGTCTATATTAGTTACCACAGAATCAAGAAAGTTACGCATGCATGCAATTCATTTAATAACTTGTAACAATGGATTCGCCGAGACATATGTCTCAGGCATTTGCGAAAATCAAGGGACTGCGGAGAAGATTTTACTAGGTTTTATATTATTTACTTTGGGGGAGAAAATTGTTGTATTCGACCCGTTGTACGATAGTGTAACAAGATTCGTTATCTTAATGAAAACAAGTTTGTTAAATAAACATTCGAGTAAAATTAACAATTATCCAAAGCATCGGTTTATCATGTACTCTGTCATTTTGAGCTCTTCGCAATATTGACGGCAGAGAACAATATTGGACGAAGGCCAAATCCGACAGCGAATTCCCCAAATATCTGTGTTTATGTACATTCAGTGCAAGTCTTGCATTCCGAGTGGAAAAACGTATGTTCCGTAATGAAATAGTGTTAAATAAATGATAATAATCAATACAGTGGAAGGTACAAATATAGTCGAGAGTTCAAGTTTATCAATTATTATACCTATAAAATATTGAAATAATATTAAGAAATAATAAATTTGAAACATCAAATTCCAAAACAAGAATAGAAAAAAATCTTGTGTTCATAATCCCCATGAAAAACGATTAAAGCAATCAAATTAAAAAATATATATATATATTAATTTTGTTTCGCTAAAAATAATGAAAAATTTAACAGAATCGGTTGTTGAAAATGGAGCAAGATAAATAACATGCTTCAACGAATTGTAAATATTTAAATGCAAAAAAAAATGAATACCTTTCAAAAGTCGTTGCATAACATTAATATAATTTTAAGCATGTATTAAAAAGTTCATACATACCGGACCTGTACCAAATCTCCTAGCCATACTATGTCTCTGAAAAAAGTAACACTGTTCTTCACATAGACGCTTTGTTACGTTTAGCGATCTTTAGCGTAAAAAATTAGGAGCAGATTGCCATCTTAGCACTTATATATACATAGATATGAGTAATATTTTCAGAAAGTTTTGAGCACGCCTGCACTGTTCAATATAGGCTTGTACATGTCTTCCTCGATACCGCTGCGATGATGCTACACAAAGACGTCAAAAGAAGTGGCGGATTCAATGAGAAACAACAGATAGCAATAACCAACACAAACTGCTATGTGTCAATAACTGAGGAACAAGACTGAAGATATAGTTCAAAGGTTTTATTTTTTTTTTTTTTTTTTTGTTGCAACAAAACAGCATACAAAAACATTATTGAACAAGTCAATGATTAAAATTATTTTATCCATGATACTTGTTTTAAAATATTCAACATAAAGAGAGAAATCTTTCAAGCCTAAGAGAAACGTTTGACCAAATTTTATCCATTATACTTGCTTTAAAATATTCAACATAAAGAGAGAAATCTTTCAAGCCTAAGAGAAACGTTTGACCAATCCCCCTTACCCCGCAATAACTTTTCCAATATATATATATAAGTAGACAAGAGGCCAAAAGGCCTAAACGATCACCTGAATATGAAAAAGTAACATACAGAGGATACAAAGAGTATTTAGTAGACTTTTAGAACTCTGTGTATTTCTTTCAGTGAGAAGACCTTTCACAGGTTTTGGCTAAAATTCTTTAATAGTGTGTTTATACCGTTGTTTTTTAAAATTATCACTACAAACCTTTTTAATTTCAATGCAAGTTTTTGTGAAAATGGATCTTATCTGTCACTTTTGATTTTCTCTCTTAAATTTAAATTGAAGTTCAACTGTAGCAGTTTCTTTCCTTTTTAAACTTATGCATTTAATTACCCTTTCTTTTCAGGGAGATGATTCCTCTTCACAATGCAATTTTAGCGGAATCTATTAAGTTCCCAGCACTGTAACTTTGTCCATGTAGAGGAAGTTCCGATACACCCAGGAAAATGGGTTATGGAAGTGGAATTGCCTATAGGTTTGGATTTCAATATAAATAGGTTTTAGTATGGCGAGATAGCCTCAGCCCTTTCGCTTGGGAAGATGTGGGTAATAGATTTACCGATATTGAAGAGAGCGGAATATTTCCATGTGCTTGGAATTCTAAAACGGTCTTCCAACCTGTATCCGAAAACTCAGGTGTGCCAAAATATAATACATTACAGGAAATCCCGCGAAAGCCCCGAGGAATTATTTTTTTATTAACTGGTAACTACACTATTCCAAAAAAGAATCTTTCATTTTCTTCCTGACTGTTAAATATACAGGCTAATAGCATGGCAAAATATACGCAAACAGTTACGTGTGATTTTGTGGCCAGCTGTGGATAACAAATAAAACGGGTTTGAATGGGTGACATATCTTTGGTCTCGAAAAAGATGGATACCTTGTGTCATCATACAGTAGAAACTAGCTCACAGTTTAAAAGAAAACAAGCGCCTGTGGAAGGACCTGCAACTTTAACATCAAGTGCCCAGCGCATGGCGGAGGTACAGTTGCTACACCTTTTCTTATCGACTTAGGTCAGCCACAGCCTTCATTTGAAATGGCTTGTGAAACTATTTGAACATTTTAAAGGACGACCAGAGAATGTTACAAGCAGCTTCAGTCGGAAGCGGGTTAAAACTGACTCGCTTAAAGGTACTTGGACACAGATTTGAAGTTAATTTTTTTCTCTATAATATTACGAATTATACATGTATATTTTAATAGCATTTCTCACAGAAATTAATTAAAAATCTTATTTAATTTAAAAGTTAATAAAACTTCAAATTTTTTGGCGGGTTTGATTGACACATCCTTGCACTTTCACAAATTTTAATTTTACTCTTCATACTTAGGAAAAGTGGCAATCTTGTTGTGTATGAATGAAAAATATTAATACTATAATCCAGATAATTCAGAGTAGACATGTTCGAAAGCAAAACAAACACACAATATATTCTCAGTCCGTGCAGTTATTGTGAGCAGACTTTGACAATTGAACGCACCCGGTGAAATCTAAACATCAACAAAAACAGAGCTCGAGCCTTGTTTACAAAAACTGTGTACATAACACGAGTGTGATCGATTTGCACACACGACTTAGCTCGGAATGACGATACTTGTGAAGGTGTTTTGCTTTCTAACATTTCTACTCTGAATAAAATTATTTTTCTGAATTAAAGTTTTAATATTTCTCATTAATACACAACAAGATTGCCACTTTTTTGAAGGATTAAGAATAAAGTTAAAATATGTGAAAGTGCCAGGATGTGTCAATCGAACCCGCCAAAAAATTTGAAGTTTTAATAACTTTTGAATGAAATAAGATTTTTAATTAATTTTTGTGTGAAATGCTATTAAAATATATAATTCGTGATATTATACAGAAAATATTAACTTCAAATCTGTGTCCAAGTACCTTTAATCTACATGCATGTTTTTTCACAGTGAATTGCAAGCATATTTATGAAATAAATAAGGCCAGTTTTAACTTCAAGGATTCTTGAATATTGTTATTTAAGATTAAAAATTTTATGTTAGTGGCCCTTTCTTCTGTTTTTTATATGTTTAGAATAAACTTCGACGTTTTCAATTTGTTGTGATACATGATGGTTCGAGTTATCTCTGCTTCCGGTAAAATCAAGAGAAACACGTAGTGCTCAACAATAATGATATCTAGCAATGTATATTTAAAAACATTATTCTGGAATATATTAATATATCATGGGACCAATTTTCCTCAGATCGGGTTTTCTGTCCAGACGCATTTAATTTCGATGCAATTTTTTTGTGAAAATGGATTTAATGTGTCAATTTTGATTTTCTCTCTTAAATTTAACTTGAAGTTCAATTGTAGCAGTTGCTCATCAATCTCTTTCTTTTTCAGCTGCAGGTGTGTAGCTCTCCGAAAAAATATATTGACAGACCGGAGAGCTAGTGCCACCCATTGAAAAAACTATATTTATTGCGCACAAAAAAGTGCGCTCGGTTCTCGATTTATTTCTCAATTTTTTTCAAACTGTCATCTTAAAATATTACTAACCGTGTGTTTCTAACATATTCTTTCGCTTTTTCCACAACCAAACTCCTCATAATTGTTGTTAATAGTGCTCCTGACCCTGATATTGTAATCATCGAACATTTCGCTTATTTATACTGCCATTTTGGTTTCAAAGATAATTCGGTCCAATATGCTTCGTTCGGGTGTCAACTACAAGAGTACTCGATAGAAGATAAAGGAATTTTTTTGAAATCTTTCCTTATTTGCAATTGAGGTAAGAATTTGGAAGAATTAGATAAGAACCGAGCGCACTTTTTTGTGCGCAATAAATATAGTTTTTTTCAATGGTTGGCACTGTAGCTCTCCGGTCTATCAATATATTTTTTTTTTTCGGAGAGCTACAGATCTGCAGCTATTTCTTTTTAAACTTGTGTGTATTTTATACCCTTTATTTTCAGAAAGCTGATTTCTCTTCACAATGCAATTTTCGAAGAAATCTAAGTTCCCAAAACTGTAAATTTGTCCCTGTAGAGAAAGTTCCGATACACCCAGGAAATAGGGTTGTGAAAGTGACATTGCCTATAGTCATGGATTTTTCAATATACATGGGTGTAGCATGGCGAGATAGCCTCAGACCTTTCGCTTGGGAAGATGTGGGTAATAGATTTACCCATATTGAAGAGAGCGGAATATTTCCATGTGCTTGGGATTCTTAAACAGTCTTCCAACCTCTATCAGAAAAACTCGGGTGTGCCAAAATATAATAAATAAGATGAAATCCCGCGCAAGCCCGGTGGAATTATTTTTTTTTATTTACTGGTAATTACACTATTCCAAAAAGAATCTTTCATTTTCTTCTAACAGTTAGATATACAGGCTTATATCATGGCAAACTATACGCGAACAACTACATGTGATTTTGTGGCCAGCTGTGGATACCAAATAAATAAAACTAGCTCACAGTTTAAAAGAAAACAAGCGCCTGTGGAAGGACCTGCAACTTTAACATTAAGTGCCCAGCGCATGGCGGAGGTACAGTTGCTACACCTTTTCTTATCGACTTAGGTCAGCCACGGCCTTCATTTGAAATGGCTTGTGAAACTTCATGAACATTTTAAAGGTAACGAGGACCAAGGATCCGCCATATTTACTTTCGTATCTGTCACATAGTAAACTGCACGGGAAAAAAAGCTGAATTTCGTTGCAACAAATACAACGAGAAGGTCATTAAAAAATTTTT